AAGAGAAAAAAGAGATCGTGTTTTGGAAGTAAACGACAAAAGCGCTCATGCGTCGAAGTTAAGGATCCTCTTCCCACTCCCCCTCAGAGCAAAAATGTAACAGTGGTGCCAGTATACAATTCTAAAACAGAGCAAAATTATACTCTGAGAGTAGCCCTGGGGAGCTGTGTCTACTGGTCAGAAGAACGTGAAATGTGGGTAACAGACGGGTGTCAGGTAAGTCGTGTGAATTTTGTTTAGATCCAAGATCTTCTAAATTCTTCAGAAGATCTTCGGAATTGTTCAGAAGTCCCCTCAGGTGATTTTAAGTAATCTTAAATTCGACAGGGTTCGGAAGTCTTCGGTAGTTTTGGTACAATTTACACTGGAGTGCATGTATGAATTGAATTCCGTTTATGAACTGATTCAATAATAGGTAGTATTTTTAACTGTATCTAAAACGACCATGATTTAGGTCAAGCAACATGTACAGATCGATATTTCGCTTTCACTCCAAAGTGCGGACTACCGGCCGGGTGTACTCCGACGAATTGATACCATTAGTTTCTTTTACGGCACTTTCATTGAATTTACCTCTGTAATTTTACGCCTCAGAGTTACCGTTCAGATGAGAAACGACAACTGTGAATAAAACTTCAATAATCCTCGCAATGGTTTTTTATTATTTTTGTACAGGTCTTATCAGCGACTTTAAATGGATCTATCAACTGTTCTTGCAATCATCTGACCTCATTTGGTGGAGGTCTTTTAGTTGAACCGAATCCCATCGATTTCGACAAAGTCCTGGTGGAGTTCAAGAATATTGGAGAAACTGGAAATGTTGCAGTTATTGTGACGGTGGCTGTAGTCCTCCTGTGTTATATTGTGGTTCTTGTTATCGTCCGAAGAGCGGATGCAGAAGACACTCGAAATGTACGTACCAGTAATAAATTTAACTCCTCATCCCCTTCGTTAACTAGAAATCTAAAATCTTATCGAGTCATGGGGCCTCATCAGAAAAACCTGAGCTTACTGAAAGTTCTCTGTAGAATTAACGGGCTGAGAGTGCCAATAATAAGATTCTTATTAAACAAAGTTAACCAACAATGGCCAATGCCCTCTTTGAGATGCGGCTGTAGAATATCATGGTAGTCACTTGTATTCATCAAAACAAATATCCAATCCAAGATGATGAATACAACTACCATGATTCCCTGCAGGTGCATCTCATAGAGGGAATTGGGAATTCACAGTTGTGAGCAAGAGAGCATGAAGGTAAG